TGGAGATTGAGTCGGTCGATAACGCTGTCAAACTCTCGCTCAAGGGTTTGGTCGACTGCGGCGCCACCTCGGAGTTTATTGACAAGGAGTATGCCATCTCCACCCAAATTCCGCTTCGTAGACTCTCGCAACCCATTCCCGTTTTCAATGTGGACGGGTCTCCGAACGAAGCTGGAGCGATCTCGGAAGTTGCGGATGTAGTCCTCCGGTACAAGGGGCATTCCGAACGGGTCCAGTTCGCAGTCACGCGCCTTGGTAAGCAGAAGCTCATCCTTGGGTATTCGTGGCTTCGGAAACATAACCCGGAGATTGACTGGGAGACGCGGGATGTCAAAATGACCCGCTGCCCCGCCTCCTGCGCTACCTGCCGCGACGAAGTCCGAAAGGAACGCCGCGAGGCGAAGGTCGTAGCTCAGATCCTCCGCTCCGTCCGCGCCGGCCCCTTCCCATCCATCTGTGTCGTCGACGCGGATGACCGAGAAGGTGAGGACGACGACGACGACGATCCGGATCTTCCGGAGTTAACCCCCGACTCGGAGGATACCTCGGACGATGAGGACGACCCGATCGAAGATGGCGACCGCATCTTCTATACGCGGTTCGGACCTTCGGAGGATATCCGGGCGACCTCCACCGTTTCCCAGAGGCTTGCGGAGGCTCACGCTAAAAACTCCGGACCTCCTCCGACGGAAGTTCCCGACTGGATTCGGGAGTTTGAGGATGTCTTCAATCGGGAATCCTTTGACTCTCTTCCGGAACGTCGGACGTGGGACCATGCCATCGAACTCGTTCCCGATTCGAAGCCGGCAAACTGCAAGGTCTACCCGATCTCCCCCCTCGAACAGAAGGAGCTCGATGCCTTCATAGAGGAAGGGTTAGCCACCGGCCGAATCCGTCCGTCCAAGTCACCCATGGCCTCGCCGGTCTTCTTTGTGAAGAAGAAGGACGGCGCTCTCCGGTTCGTCCAGGACTACCGGGCGTTGAATGCCATGACCGTGAAAAACCGGTACCCGCTCCCTTTGATCAATGACCTCATTAACCGGTTGAAAGGAGCTCGGTACTTCACGAAACTTGACGTCCGGTGGGGGTTTAACAACGTCCGGATCCGCGAGGGTGATGAATGGAAGGCGGCCTTCCGGACTAACCGGGGATTGTTCGAACCCCTGGTGATGTACTTTGGCCTGACCAACTCCCCAGCAACCTTCCAGACCATGATGAACGACATCTTCCGAGACCTCATCTTGTCCGGAGATGTCATGGTCTACCTCGACGACATCCTCGTCGCCCACTCGGACCTCGCGCGCCACCGGAAGATCGTCTCGGAGGTTCTTCGGAGGTTGCGTGCGCACAAACTCTACCTCCGACCGGAAAAGTGCGAGTTCGAGAAGGCCTCGATCGAGTATCTCGGCGTGATCATCTCCCACAACCACGTCGAGATGGACCCCGTCAAGGTTGCGGGAGTTGCCGCCTGGCCGACCCCAGCGAACAAGAAGGACATGCAGCAGTTCCTCGGCTTCACAAACTTCTACCGGAGGTTTGTTCGGGGGTTCTCGGATATTGCCCGGCCCCTCTTCGATCTCACAAAAAAGGGCATGCGGTGGTCCTGGGGAAGCTCGGAGGATGCGGCCTTCCGAGCTCTCAAGGACGCCGTAACCTCCGACCCGGTTCTTATCCTTCCGGACCCGTCCAAGCCGTACCGGCTTGAAGCAGACAGCTCCGACTTTGCCACCGGGGCTGTCCTGTCTCAGCCCGATGCCGACGGTAAGTGGCATCCGGTCGCGTTCTTCTCCAAGAGCTTGAACGAGGTCCAACGTAACTACGAAATCCACGACAAGGAGATGCTCGCAATCATCCGAGCCCTAGAGGAGTGGCGACACTTCCTCGAAGGCACGGAGCATCCGGTGGAGATCTGGACCGACCACAAGAACTTGGAGTACTTCCGTGAAGCGCGAACCCTCAACCGCCGGCAGGCTCGGTGATCCCTCTACCTGTCTCGGTTCGACTTCGCCCTTCACCACAAACCCGGAAGTTCCATGGGTCGCCCGGACGCCCTCTCCCGTCGTCCGGATCACGGAGGTTCGGAGGATAATCGCGACGTCACCCTTCTCCGTCCCGAACTCTTCCATGTCCGTGCAATGGAAGGTCTCATCGTCGCCGGCCCGGAGGTTCCGATCCTCCGAGACATCCGGAACGCGCTCTCTGGAGAGGCCGACCTCGAAGACCCCGTTGCCCGCGCCGCACGGGAGGTCCTCAAGGTCCGCGGCACCCGGTCCACCCGATCCTCCGAGTGGAATGTCGAGGGCGGGCTGCTCTACTTCCGAGGGAAGATAGTGGTCCCCCGAGATACTGACCTCCGGCGTCGGATAATGGAGCAGCACCATGATACGCGGATTGCCGGGCACGCTGGCCGTTTCAAGACGTTGGAGCTTGTCTCCCGGAACTACTGGTGGCCCCAGATGTCCCGACACGTCGGCCGTTACGTCGCCACTTGTGACCTGTGTTGCCGTACCAAGGCCCTCCGGAAACTTCCGATCGGAGAACTTCATCCGACGGAGGTTCCCCCTGAGCGCTGGCATACGGTCTCCGTCGACTTCATCGTCGAACTTCCGGAGGCCCACAGGTATAATGCGATCATGGTCGCGGCGGATGTTCTCGGTAAGCGGGCGCACTTCATGGAATGCCACACGCAGATCGATGCCGTGGGCTCCGCGCGCCTTTACTACCGGAACGTCTGGAGGCACCACGGAACTCCCGTCCGCTACATCTTCGACCGAGGTCCGCAGTTCGTCGCGGAGTTCACTCGGGAGTTGTTCCGTCTCATCGGGATTCAACCGGCGACCTCCACCGCTTACCACCCGCAGACCGACGGGCAGACCGAGCGCATTAACCAGGAACTCGACCAATTCATCCGGCTTTTCACAAACTACAAGCAGGACGATTGGGACGAGCTCCTGCCAGCCGCGGAGTTTGCGTACAACAACCACATCCACTCGTCGACACAGCAGGTTCCGTTCATGACGGACACCGGTCGGCTCCCTCGGATGGGGTTCGAGCCGAACGGTCCACGCTCGCGACTGGAGGACGTGAACGACTTCCGAGATCGGATTGCCTCGGGGGTTTCGGAGGCCCAAGCCGCACTTGTCAAGGCCAAAGACGAGTACAAGCGGTACTACGACCGCCGACGAACCCCCGCACCGGAGATTAAGGTCGGAGATCGCGTGTGGCTTGACGCATCAGATATCCATACCACACGCCCATCCCCGGGGCTTTCACATCGCCGGCTCGGACCCTTCCGTGTCTCGGAGGTTATCGGACGTGGCGCGTTCAAACTGGACCTCCCCCCACGCCTCTCCCGATTACATCCGGTGTTTCCCGTGGTGAAATTGGAGTTGGCGGAGGTTGACCCCTTCGGAGGTCATCCGGGGTACGAGGAACCCCCGCCTGTACTTGCTGACGGAGCGGACAGCGAGTGGGAAGTGGAGGAAGTCCTGGACGCGAAAATGCGCTACCGAAGCCTCTGGTACTTTGTCCGGTTCAAAGGATATGACAACTCGCATGATCAATGGGTAAAACATTCGGACGTCTTCGCCCCTGATGCTATCGCGGAATTCTACCGCAAATACCCTGGGAAGCCTCGAGCCATCGCCGCTGCCACTTTCGACGCCCTTCCCTTCCAGGACCCCGCCACATCCTCCGCCCACATCCGAGCTATGCGTCGAGGCGCCGCATTCCAAGGGGGGGGTGATGTCAGGGGAACCCCCGTTTCCAACCCCCGATCCTCCGATCCGACCCCCGGATCCTCCGATCCGACCTCCGGTCAGACCTCCGCTATCCTCCGACGTTCCCCCCGCCGAGCCAAACCCCATCTGGACGGATCCCCGCACTCTGCATGGCACTCCGCATGTGATCGTGCCCGGGATCACTGCCGTTCACTACGCCATCAACAAACCATGCGCAACCCGTAGTTAGCCCTAGCTGGTATATAGGCACGCACCTGGCCGGGGAATCCTTAGACTTTCTCCTCTTCGGATCCCCCCTGCCAGGTGCGCTTCTTCCTGTAGTAGTGTACTTCAATTGACTTCGGATCCCCCCTGCCAGGACTCTTGAGATATTTCGGGCCGCCAGGGTTGCCCTTACAATGGCAGGTCACACTGGCTAAAGCTGTGCTCAAATTGCTCTTCAATGCAGCCAGCAAAGTCAAGCCTGAAACAGCTCTGACTTTAATAAAAGGTAAGTCAAGAATTGCCTGATCATGATTGCATGCATCCATGGTGTCATATCCACCAAAACACAGCATTAAACACTTGTTCAACAAGGAATTTTGAAATTCTGCGCTCAATGTTCCAGTCCAATTTATCTGGGCAATCCAAGGCCTAGGTAGAGAGTTGATAAAGCTAAGATATATCGAGGAGCTTCTTTTACTTATTCCGGAAAGATTCATTGTGAATTTAGGCTTTAGCAACTTTTCTTGTAAGGTTTCATATGAGCAGTGTCTAAAATGAGTGAGTTCAAATATGTGTCCCTGATCTTTTTTGGTCTGGAGAGAGTAATACTCCGCCGATTCAGCTCAAACAAAGTGCTAGATTTGCTAATAATATCCGTAGGTATATGGTGATCAGGTGTGGAAGCCTTCAAATTACGTGATCGCATATGGCAGATCAATTTCCGGTTACTTTTTGACACAGCGAGTATATGGGAGCGGAATTAGAGGTAGAAAGTCCCAGTAGCACTTGGTGTTGCTTTAACCTGGTTCAATTCCAGGCTGGGTTATAACTATTCCTCGGATTTTCTTTTCTTTTCAGGGCAACTTTTTGGAACACCTAAGCAGGAGCAGAATGGAGGGCAGAAACACTTAAGCAGGACTCGGTATGCATCTACTTCCGTTGATGAAAAATTCCGTCCGAAAGTTCAGCAGTTTGGTTTCAGCCTCATCTTTATGTTTTTCATCCTGAAAATCCTCAATATTTTGGAATGGAGGCAAGTGCTACAGTGTGGAGAAAGACCTGGTAGCGCATGGTGTGCATCTGCTTTCAATTGCCGATCTATCTCTACCAAAATTGAAGCAGAAGGCCCTGGTTCAACTCCAGGCTGGGTCATTCTACAACCAAGTGCTCACTTTATTTTTGTAAGGTCCTGGTTCGACTCAAGGTTGGGCCATGACATATTCAGGGCCAGAAAACATTTTTCCCGTTTTTTGCACTCCAATTCCTATGTCGTGCCAGACTCAGCAGCGCTTGGCTTAGTTGAGCACGATTTCCATCGCTCATCAAGCGGGGGGAAAAGTCTGTTGTTTCCATATGCAATTCATTGTCGATCCGAATCACTGGTTTAAATCAATTCCAGCCTGGGTCATTCGGCACTCCCCGTCGAACTTTTTTTTTCTAGCTCGAGTATTCTTTGGAGATAGCACATGGTGTGCATCTGCCTCAATTATATAATCTAGACAATCTGAAGGTCTTGCAGAAAACTATATTCTGGTTCAATCCCACTTGAAACAGTGTACAAAGTCATTTCTTTCCTGGGCCTTTTTCAGTGCCTATACCTATGTAGGAACATAAAAACATGGAGAAAGGAAGACCTGGTAGCACTCAATGTACGCATCTGCATCAGTCAAGCATTATTCTGTCGGTGGAAGGTCCTGGTTCGATTCCAGGCTGGTCTAATGCCTTGCCGAAGATTTCGGTTTTTCCTAGCTTTTTTTTGGACACCTACACTGGATAGAATGTATGGTCAGACGCTCAGTAGCACTCGGTGTGCATCTGCTTCAGCTATCTAGTAACTTACAGACCATCAGTTGCAGAAAACTATATCCTGGTTCGACTCCAGTCTAGGTCATTCCCAGGCCATAAAGTGGCCACTTTCTTTTTATAGTCCCGCAAATGTATCCAGTGTCCAAGCACATGCTCCGGATTTTGAATGGGAAGCAGTACTCGGTAGCACTCGGCGTGCATCTGCTCTCAATGGCTGCGCGGGCACGTTAAGTTGAAGCAGAAGGCCCTGGTTCGACTCCAGGCCGGGTCATTACGCAATTGCGTCGGAGTTGCATTTTGGTTTTGGTTTGGGCGCGTCTATGTCAAGGGAGAAGCACAACAAAAAGCAGAATCCGGTCTTACGGACGGAAATACACTCACTCAACCCTCAACGCGCTCGAACTATTTCGGAGCCTGAGCACTGAAGCCTTGGTCTACTTGACGACTCCAGTCCAAACTTCGTATTATTTTACTGAGAAGCTAAGAGTACAGTATTATTCATGATGCGATAAGTAAAGTCCAATTCGTCCATGTGGGTCGTTTTCGCCGTGTCAGTAAAGGCCATCCATCTCCGAGAAAGGGTACGTCGTTCTTCAAACGCCAATAGGCATGCGGAACGTGTCCAGTGGGTCCACCTTCGCCTTGATCGACTGGAGACGAGCCAGATGTGAACCATAGTAGAGCGCCGGGGCATTCGTGAGCCTATCATCCGCATAGTTCAGGTACGCGCCGTAAGCCCAGTTCGCAGGGCTGTTCGAGACAATGCTAGCCGCCATCCCATCCATGAACGCGAACCCATCCGCGGGGTAGGGCGGCGCGCTGTTCGAGGACGACGCATAGAGCTGGATCGTGAACAGCGTGTCTCTCTTCGCGAACGCAGTCGAGTCGAGCGGGACCGCGTTGATCGCAGAGTTGCTGCCGCCGTAGAGTTCAACCTCCACGAACCACGCCGTGTCGGACGAGAAGCCCTGGTTGGCCATGTACGTCACGAACGCCGTGATGGCGGCGGTCGACATTGGCGACCCGGAAGGCGTCATGATCGACTTGGTGTAGAAGGTGTCTGGACCCTCTGGGGCAGTGCTAGTGTTCAATGGCTGACCAGCGAGGACAGAGACGCTGTTGATGTAGCTGCCGGGGGAGATCGTCGTCCCCGACGGGGCGGGGAGGGTCTTCAGGTATGGCGCGAGGGTGGCGTTGAGTTTGCTAGCGTCACCATACCATGCACCTGTCCAGCCGACGGAGACGTGCGACTTGGAAGGGCCAGCGCCGAACACGAGCTCGGCACCGAACTCGGGAGCGATGTTGGACGCGGCGAACGTCTGGAAGGACGCGATGGCGTTGGAGGCAGTTGCAATGTCCATGCTGTCCCAGCTATACTGGAAGACGATGGCTGAAGCTGGTGCGGGGAATGTCTGAACCTCAATGGAGGCGACGATACCAAACGAGGGGGATGCTCCGCGGATTGCCTGAAAGGTACGAATTAATACATGAAATGAAAGCAGCACTCTATTAATGCTCACCCAGAAGAGATCCGTATTAACTGTCGACGAAGCGGTGACGATGGTGCCGTTTGCGAGGACCACAGTTGCAGACTTGATCACGTCGAGCGTTAAACCCCACGCGCGACTGGTGAAGCCAAATCCACCTAAATCACGTCAATCACCGAGTTGAAGACAATTCATTTTGCGTCAAGCTAACCGTATCCGGAATGGCCACCAATGCCGACATAACTGCATGTGCCGTGGGGAATCGCGCGCCCAGCGGCATTGAGGGCAAGCGCTATATCTCCCAGCCTGTTTCCCGTCTGAATAACGGCGGTGTTATTCGACGAGCGCACGGTTATCGCTTTCATTTTGCTCATATCGATAACCAATGCCCCGCTATTCCCGCCGAGGCCATTAGCAATATAGGAGTGCTGTAAATTAACAGTACGTCAATGCGGCGGCGTGATAATAATCGGATGGACGTACGCCTCCACTGCGGGCGACAACTTGCATGCCCTGCGCCGTGCCGGCGAGAACGGCCTCGGCAACCTGCTGGACAGTGGTAGGGAACGCAACGGCGGCAGGGGAGATCGTGAACCGTCTGTTGACTAAATTCCGTGTTAAAAAGTGAACAACATCCAGCCGTCTAATCACCACACTTACAAGCTAGGGCGGCAGAAGAGTAACCTGAGTCTCCAGGGAAAAACGCGGTGATGCCATTTGCAGTCAGATTTTGGTGCAGGCCAGTGGGGGGAGTCGAGGTCGACGTCGTTTGCGACCACTGCTGATTGGGTCCGCCGGTGCAAGTCCAAATTTGAACCTACAAGTATTTGAGGACACAATGCTTCGAGGAAGAGGAGATACGCACAAGGTTGCCGTTCGCTACGCTGCCGTCGGTAAGATCCAAGCAACTCGATTGCCCGCTCCATTGGATCGTGCTCCCTGAAACCGTCCATTTCTGGTTCGGCCCCCCAGAGCAAGTCCAGATTTGCATCTTATTGCCGTTGGTTGCAGCACCATTGGTGACATCCAAGCACTTGGTGCCGAAGATTTGCAGGGTCGACCCAGAGATGGTCCAGGTCTGCGTAGTGGCGCCCCCAGAGACGCAGTCCTCGATCTCGACAACCGCGCCGTCGGCATTAGATGCAGCGGAGAGGCATTTCGCGGAGTTGGCACTGGGGTGGATGAACGTGGCGGCGGCGGCGCCCAACAGAACTGTAAGGAAGGAAAGTGAAGTGAGCATCTTGGGGGGAGAGTCTGAGACTCAGAGGCGGATGAAAAATGAGAGACGCGGATCCCCTTTATATAGCAGGTAACCGCCTGGACCGGAGCAGTGAGCCCGCAGATGTGTAACATTTACATACAGTCGGGACTTCGGGTGTTTCAAGGGCGTGTGGAGAGTCGCCGCGGCTAGCATCGCCAAGCCGCCGCTGGGTTGTGTCGTAACCAGCTAAAAGCAACCACATCGAAACCAAGAATTGCTACTTTCGCGTCGATACGAGTGGATGGGATGCCTGAGTCTTCGCAAGAGTGGTCGCCGACATCAGATCAGGCCGACGTCAGATCCGCACTGCCCGCTCGTCGGAGGATTTTAACTGATTGGCATCTGGAATGAACTGAGTAAATGAAAGGGGCTCGGCTCATGGAGTGCATGAACCCGGAAGGTGGTGGACTCCACCAAAAATGTAGATCCCATCAAAGGGCTTCGTGACACCGGCACTCTTATTATAAGTACGGCCTTGCCAGCCCCGGCCACAACTTGACAAGGCTTTAAGATCCTGGCGCCCAACTGTCAAGCCTCTATCCATGCCCTGCGAATAGCACTTTAAAATGCGAAAGGGCCGTGCAAGATACCGTTTGGACACACTTCTTGTCCGCGACCCCCACCACCACGACCATCTTTGGAACTGCTGGGACTTCCACCTCCACCTCCTCTCCACCTCCTAGTGGTGCTCTTGTGCCTGTTCCACCCGCAACGGCTTGCACCCTCGTCGCGGCTCTAGCCTCTCTGAGGTGACGCTGAAATGGGAAAAGTGCAAAAAGAGACACTGGCATGTGAGGCTTACACAGTTTGAAGTTTCTTCTAGTTGATACCCCCCGTCCATGGACATGAAGTCCTCTCGGGAAGCTGTTGTCGATGGCCAAGTCCTTCCCCGGAGTGTCGTGACTATCCGTTTTATGATATCGGGCTCGTTATGTACGTCGGCTCGCAGTCTTGCCACTATCCCCTGATCCCAGTGACACCGTTGTTGTCCCCACTGCGGGCATTCTCTTGATTCTTTCACTTCTCAGCTCACATTTTGTACTTAGCGAGCTTTTTTTTTAAAAAAAAAGAGCCAGAAGCGGTGCAATGACGCGTTCGACAAGCTAGTCACTGTATCTCCCGAGTCCGTTGAAGTTCTGCGCAAAGCGTACAAGGAGGACACACACTAGAAGGCTTGATTCACAAGGTACGTCTACACTACAGGCAACAACGCCTCAAGGACTACTTGCTCGCTGCTCTCGGCTTTCATGTTGCCTCCAGTGATGTGGCCGCACCTGTTCCGCCGCTTGTCCGCCGCTCTATTCGCAAACCGATGCGAATTTGGGTGGAGAAAGCATCCAATGTCGCCAGCTACGACAGTAGGGTGGCATGTCCCGCAAATCTACACCTGTAGACAGCTCCGCGGCGCTGACTCGGTTTATCCAACCCACTACTTCGCAAAAATCTGTATCGCGCCGGGTCTCCGACTCTTCATCTCCTCCAACGCGTCCTTTGAAGCTTGTTCAGTCCTCTTGCAAGCGCCTTTTTGCGCCTCCCGTGTCGAATCCATGCCAGTATGTCTCTTTTTCTCTTTTCTTTCCTTTCCGTCCTCTGGGCTC